TCATTGGAGTGCTGAGGTGGAAAGAGAAAGAGAGAGGAAGAAAAGATAAGGCTTAAAAAAGGGGGTATCCCTTCCTTGGGAAGGACTGACTGAAGGAGACAGAGGTGTCTGGGGTGAAATACAGATGGAAAGTCAGTGTTGAAGTTCAAGTTGTTATACCAGCTGCTGGGAGCAATGGAACCCAGCGGGATGGAGCCCTCTTGGGGCACCCATGTTATGCCACCTGGAAGGTTCACCTTCTCCCGTAGACTTGGGGTGCCACAACACTGCTGGACTGTCAGTAACTGCTTTCACATGGGGCTGAAGTTCAATTGTTTCCAAAAGCTGGTGGGGGATGGAGGCTGAGACCCTTGGTGATGCAAAGGGGTCAGATTTTCTTGGAGGAGCAGGCTAGGAAACAGTTCATTGTCTAATAACACAGCAAATATCTTGGACACAGAACATGGGTGGTAAGACTTTTTTTCTGGCTGAACACAGAGAGCTTTAAAAATAGTCCTTAGAAATTAAAAAATGAAAAAAGAACCCTAACTCATTTGACTCAGCTCATGTTCTGTAAAAACAATATTGTGTTCTGACAAGCAATTCAGAGTTTGTAGTGTTTATCTAAAACATTAAATTGGAGGAATGAGTAATTACCTCTGAAGGACTTAATAACTCTTTGTCCCTTCCTCCATATGCTTGTGTTTGAGTCATGACAACAAGGAGGATACAATAGGTATTTGTGGGAAGTATAAAGCCTGTGTACTCAGGGAACGTGTGGCTCCTCTGCAGATGTTATTGTTTCCTCTGGCATCTTAAACACTGCTTATAAAGGATTACTCTCCCTTCAGGATGTGACCTCTCTGCCTTTTGTCTTGAGTCAGACAAACGGTGACAAAGGCATCCCAGCAGTATTAATTTACTCTAATTACTGCATTGGGGGTGTGCAGCTTCTTCAGCATATTTATGAAAATTCAGTGCATTCCATAAATGACTTGGGTGGGCTTATTTCCATACGAACAATGAGGAAAGCCTGAGATGCACGAGTCGTTCCCACACACAGTGAACTGAAAGAAATCACCCACATCCAGGTTTTTCTCTGAATCAAGGACTCTTGCATGTCCCCTGTAGGGATACTGATCTGGGAAGTGGGTTGTGGGTGCATGTCACGCTTTGAAACCAGATGCAAAACTCAGTTTTGCACCTTACCTGCTTCTCAGCATCTTCTGTGTCCCAGTGTCAGACCCAGTCTGAGCCCAAATTTCTCTCCATTCTGCTTGATCTCTATTGCCTTAATTTCCCATCTCTTTCACACCTCCTGCAAAGAAAGGGTGAAGTACCAGGGTTTCCTCTACAGTTCCTTAGTAAAGTATTGAGAACCATTTCCACAGATACAGGAGATAGTGGGGTGGGAAGAGGGTGAAGTACCAGGGTTTTCTCTACAGTTCCTTAATTCCTTAGTTCCTACATTGAGAACCATTTCCAACAGATACAGGAGATAGTGGGGTGGGAAGGGAAGACACATTTGAAGCCTTTCTGAATAGCTTGTTTTTAATCAGTGCTTGATAGGTATGATTTATCTGGGCAGGGTTTGGGTCTCAGAAATTCATTCAAGCTTATAATTATCTTGGCAGATGTGAAAAGTCACATTCATAGCCACTCAAACCCATTAGAGCCTCACACTTTTCTAAAAGGAAGAAAAAACCCTTCAGCTTTGCTTTCTGAGAGGCAGAATAGCTTTCTGTTCCTTGACAGCTCTTGAAATCTGTCCCCTTTCCACTGCCTGTCTTTAGTTCCCAAGGGAGAAATGAATGCAGGTCCACTGGGACAGAAAGGGAAAGAAAAAAGTATTTCTGGGAAAGAAGAAAAATAATCAGCCTATTTTCATCCTTCTGCAGCAGGCATTTCTTTACGAAGATGAGCAAGTGGAAAGGCAAGTCAAGGTCTATGAAATGGAGTCAGGGCTATACCAGAAGGTTTTGCAAGTGCCTACAGTGGAGTCATTTGGGGGAACACAGAGGTGCTGCTCTGGACAGCACCCATGGCCTTCTTTGCTCTCCATTGGTTTCCTTGGATTTTGGCTTCCTCAGAGAACCCTAGGGAAAGGTCTCAGCTCTCCTGTTTCCTGTAACTTGCTCCTGGCTAAGCTGGATGTGACAGGAGTTAGCAGCAAACAGAGCCCCCCACACTGCTGTCCTGTGCCTTGCAATGGGGACAGAGCAGCTTTTCCTCCTGCCTAAGAACAAGGTCAGAAGGATCAGGCTCGGGAGACCTTTAGTACTGGAAATTGCAGGTCCCCTGGCCTGAGCACCTGGTGAGAGGCGTGGTTGTTTTGGGGACTCACATTTTGCTTGCAAGCTGGGTGCAGTCCCACCTTCCTGCTCTCCTCTGACTCCCTTTGCTGGCCACATCTCTTGGGAGTTTCTTGGAGTGGGGATTGTCTCTCATCCTGCAGAGGTGGTGTCTGTCTGATTGAAAGATTGGCTTCAGCTAAAGTCAGGGAAACGTCAGGGAAATCTCCGTGTGGGTGAGTAGGAATGTCTGTGACAATGTGAGGAGAGGTGGTCAGGGGATAGAAAAGAAAAAGAAGAGAAGAAAAGCAACTTCCACTGTTCACATACTCACTAATTTTCCAGAATGCAGTAGCAGGGATGCTACTTACGGGATCTGGGGATGTGCTGGGGGGCTTAGGACTACCCGGCTCAGGTACAGGGTAGTGACAGTTCTATGCATTTGGGGAGTCCTCCTCAGGAAACTGGTTTACAATGCACTTGCTTCTTAAGTCTGCTTTTTAAATCTGATTTTTGCATGGCGATTGTCATTAAAAAGCAGGGGAAGGAAGGGGGAAATAAATTTTTTGAAATATCATGATGTTTGTTTCAAGACCCACTAGATTTACCTTACTGGTCTGGCCACCGATCACTTAAGCCAGTCTGCCACAGCAGCCACCCAAGCCTGTTTCTGATGTCAAACTCCTCAGCTGTCAGGCGTGCATTTTAAGGGGTTATTTGTGGGGAGAGGCAATCCAGAGGGAGCAGCCGGAGCGCTCGGCCTGTCACTCAAGGTTTGCGGTGCCGCTGCACCGACAGGAATCATTTTGACAGAAAATTGCATATAAATGGAATCATTTCAAAATGAAGAAAGGGAGATGAAAGCAAACGCTTCCGAAATGAGGTGTGATGCACAGGGTTCAGCCTCTGGGGCCCTGCAGATCCCTTCCCTGGCACTCGCTCTGTCTTCGGACAGGCCATCTTTGTGCCAAGGCCAACAGTAGGTTATTGCTAATTACTTCATATTGCTAATTGTATCGGAAGGATTAGGTTATTATCTGTCCCCAGGCAACAGACCTCAAGGGAGGTGTTTCAGGATGTTCAATGCTGCAGTGTCCGGGACAGAAGGGGTCAATGACCTTGGTGGTGGCAGCAAGGAGGGGATGCAGGGCTTGGTTTCTGCACCCCTTCCTCATGCCCAAGGATGGCATGGAGAGAAGGATTAGGTTATTATCTGCCCCTAGCTCAAGGGAGGTGTTTTGGGATGTTCAACACTGCAGTGTCCAGAACAGAAGGGGTCAGTGACGTTGATGGTGGCAACAAGGAGGGGATGCAGGGCTTGGTTTCTGCACCCCTTCCTCATGCCCAAGGATGGCATGGAGTGGGGTGTGCTGATGCCAAAAGCAGGCAACTGCTTTGGTGTGTAACCTTCAAACCACTTCTTTTCTTAGCTATAGTTTTGAGTAGCAGTGGAAGGGGAAGATGTTCCATATTAAAACAAGATGCACTCAGTGAATGAAGAGGGTATGAAGGCCCTGGGGCACTGGGACTGGCACAAGAGCACAATGGGCAAGGGCACTGAGTTGGCATCATTATTTACACCCACTGTGTTGCACCATCTTGTGAAATGTCACTGTGGACTGTGCACTGTGGACTGTTAGTGAGCTAGAATGGGGCTTGGGGACACAGGAACCTCCTCCTGGGTCTGCCACTACCCTCCTGTGCTCCCTTGGTCAAGTGACTTCACCCAGTTTCCCTCCTCCTCTCCTCTCCTCTCCTCTCCTCTCCTCTCCTCTCCTCTCCTCTCCTCTCCTCTCCACCATATCTTCATTGTAGCTCACAACAGCCTGTACTGTGACTTTATCAGATTTTTTAAAAAACACAAATATCAGTAAAGAACAATGCTGATCAATCTGGTTTGTTTTATGGTTTCCTGGAGGAGGTAGTTGCACATGTCAGGGAGCTGGAAAGCCCCCACAGCTGAGACAGAGGGTGTCTTCCTGTCTCCAAGCTGGGCTGTTTGGGGATTGTTGTGGTTTTATGAAAAAGAAATGCTTTGCAGACTGGCAGCTGCCTATGTATCCTGCCTGGTCATGGAAGGTTCTTGAAACACACTGCTTCCCAAAACAATGCCTCCAGAGCCTCTTCTCCCAGAGGAAAGGCACCTGGGATTCAGCCACAGCAGGTGCTGGGTGTGGGAGCATCCTCTGCCCCTGTGCCCCTCTCCTGGCTCCTTTTAGGCAGAAAATAAATCTTCTCCCAGGTCTGTGTCCACTCCAGGCACTGATGTGGCACAGCTTTTTGCTGGACCATTACTGAAAGGCAAAGAAATGCTAAAAAAGACCTGCAAAGAGCAGGTTTTTGGGCATTCATGTGCAGACCTCTGTTTGCTTTCCTGGCTCTGGGGTCTGTGTGGCCCCTGGGGCTCTACTGGTCCCTCTGCTTGGCTGGCACTGGGGTCACTGGGAACAAACGGGCTTGGGAGGAGCACGTGTGTCTTCATCTCCTTCTGGCTCAAATTTGCCCTTGGTATTGGAAAAAAAAAAAAAAAAAGGCAGCAAAAAAGCAGCAAGAAGGGCTTTTATTGTGAAAAAGAGACTTTTCAAATGCCCGTTCCCCCCTTCCCAGCCTCTCCACTCCCCTCCTCACAGGGAGGTGGGTCCGGGACGAGGCAGAGTTTGAAAACTCACAGCCGAAGTTTGAAGGGTGTCCTGCTGCCCGGGGGGAAGCGGCGGCGTGCGGTGACAGAGCCCCGCAGCCCCTGCAAGGCGGGCTGCAAGGCAGCGGGGACCCCTGAGGGCACCCCTGGGTGACAGCCCCCGGCTGTCATTGATGGCCTGGGGACGGAAAGCGGGCTCATTAGTTGCTGGATAATTTTTTAAAAAAATTTAATTTTTTTTTACTGCTATTTTAAATTTTTGTGCGTGTTCTGTGTGGGTTCCTGGTGTCTTGTGGAAGTGCCACAGGCGGCCGGCACCCGGCTGAGGAGGTGACCGTGTGCCGTGCCGCCCAGAGAAGCACATGAGGAGCTGCTGCTGTGAGACATGGTAGGATTTAGGGGTTTCCTTGCTGAGCTGATGGTGGGGAGCAGCGCTGGGTTTGCCCCGTGGGATGCGAGGTACATCCCGGGTGTGTCCATCCTGGGGGCAGCTTGTGCCGGGCCGCTCGCAGGGTCAGAGCAGGGTGAGCCAAGCGGGGCGGGGAGCGCTACAGCTCTGCTCTGCCCTTAAAAGAGCTAGGATGGAGCGAGCAGATTGCAGGAATGCTCTGGGGATGGACAGAGCAGATTGTCGGGATGCCCCCGAGGGCAGTGCCTGGGGCTGCCGTGGCTAAAGCCCTGCTGTCAGCCAGGGAGGTGAGGACACTCCCTCAGCCAAAAGCCTCCTCTTTTGGTGGCCAGGTGGCACTGCTGCAGGCAGCCAAGCGCAGGCAGGGATCACGGCGAGCCGCTTGTGCTTTCTGCTGGGTCCTGACAAAGCACAGCACTTTCATCAAAAAGCCACAAATTCCGCCAGTTTGGCATGGGGAAACTTCACCTCCCTCCCAAGAAATGTTGTGCTTCCCCAGCATCAGAAGGTTTATCCACATCTGTAGCTTGTTCCAAACCTTAGGGTGGTGTTTCATGTCACCTAGTTGTAGTGCTCCAGTTTGGAACCTCCCTTGGCAGACCCATCTGAGCAAGCACACGTCAGCTGAGCTGGGATGATCCCCCGTGCCCCATGACCCCTGCCCCACCAGGGACACGGGGCTGTCATGCAGGGAGTTTGCATGTGCCGGGGGCTCTGTCCCTGCTTCACCACCTCAGCCCTTGCCAAGCTTGTGTTGGGCAGGGATTGCAAACCTGTGATGGATGAGCTGAGGAGATGCCTGGTGCTGCTGCCAGAAACTGGTCATTTGTGTCACTGAGGCATTTTTATGTGCTCAGGAGTGTGCTGATGACTCAGAGCATCTCTGGGGGCAGTGCTGCTGTGCCAGCCTTCACTGGAGTGTGTGTGTCTGTGTCCAGGGAACGCTACTGCCATGCTTTAGGCTTTCCATCCTACAGTTTGCATAGGGTGCTTTGGGTTTCTTAATTAATGAACTTCAGCAGCAGGAAAAAATTACAAGGCTGGGGCTCATGTCACCCATTTTGGGTTTGGAGATAACTCCTCCCTGTCAAAGGGAAAAGCAAGGCAACTCTCCCCATACCAGCCTTTTGTCTGCACCAACATTTTTCTGCACAAGCCTTCACTGTGAAGCCTTTCAAAGCCTGTACAGCCTTTCAAAGCCAGGTACCTGGTGTGGTCTCTCCTGTGAGAATGGGATATTTACTTTTTGCCAGGATTTCCATTTTGCCTTGGCAAAGGAAGGTCTGCTTCTGCAGTCCTTCCCCTTTGTGAGCTCCTGCATTGACTGCTTTGATTTTACCTGTAATCTGGGTTTGCTCTGAGCACCTGTAGGTAGGGCAGTGGTGGTCATGAGGAATAAATCCAGGCTATGCCCCCAGCTGATCATCTTGTTGCTTCATTTGCAGCAAAACCCCAAACAAAATGTTCGAGATGGTTTTTGACTCCTTTCAAAATCGCCAGGAGGGTGCCCCACTTGCAGAAAGGCAGGGGGATGCCAGCTGTGAGCTCCTGTGTTGGTATGGAGAGCACGCTTGCAGCCCGACCTGCCACAGCAGAGAGGGCTGGGGGTGACTGCATCACAGAAACATCTTCTTTCTTCTGCCTTCAGAATCTGCCAGAGAGTAGTTTCCAGTTGCTGTTGTTTGCCTAGGATGAGGCACTCTAAATATGAGGGGCTGATTACACTATGTTAATCCTCTGGCATAGATTCCAAAAGCCTCAATTACTCCTTCTTTTCCAATGCTCAGTAACTCCACTCCACCTGCAGCTACTTGCCTTGCCCTGAAGGAAAAGCCCCTTTCCTGTGAGCCTGGCTGCACCAATGCTCATACCTGGTTTGCTCTGCTTGCTCACCCCATGGGTTTTGCTAGGAGAAGAAGCAGGCTGGGAGTGGCTGCCAGTAGGCTTTGGTCAGGATGGGGTCTGCAGGACACAGGCAGCACTCAGAGCCAAATGGCAAGCAGTTTTCTTCCCCTTTTTTTCTCTTTTAGATGTAATGGTTTAACAGGAGGAAAATAGAGTTGCCTTTCTGCAGCTGAGGCCAGGGCTGGTATGAACAATTCTGTTTTGAAGAAAGCCCACAGGGCTGAAAGGCCCCGCTGTCCTCCTCCTTCTCCCTCCCCTTTGGAATCCCACGAATGCACTTTCCTGCTCTCCAGGAAGGGGAAAAAGCTGACAGTCAGCTCAGGGAAACCCAACTGTCTGACTTGGGCAACTTCCACTGAAACTCCAACAAGGGAATCCAGTGCTACTCCTTGCCAACACCCCAAGGAGGCTTTTGTGAGCCCCCACTGGGCACCAAGCAAGCATTCTTGTTCCCTGGTGCTGTCCACCAGATAGAAAAGGAAACTGAAAATAAATGTATCAAAATCCCCCCTTCTCAAAATATGGAAAAAACATGACCCCGATAAAATAAATAAAACCAAACTGAATGCCAAAATGTGTGAGAGTTTTAGCAGCATTCCAGGCATTCACAAGCAGGATTGGCAAACTCATCAAGAGGAGGAGGAAATAAAATGTGATTTTATTGTAATGTATTCCTCCCCATATTAAATACAGCCCAGAACACATTGCAAGAGGGACGTGGCTTTCCAGCACCTCTGCTCTTTGCCTGTTATGTGCAGAGGAGCTGCAGCAGCACAGCCCCTCTGGGGATGCCAAACCAGAGCTGGTGAGGAGACCAGAGATGCATCAAGAGAAGCTACTGGGGTGAGGGGAGTTGTGAAGAAGAGGGTCCATGGCTCCCAGATTGCAGTTCTTACGTCCCTGGGTTTGGACATCCCAAAGGAGTCAGCTGCTATGGTCTGTGGCTGGAACCTGCTGAGGAGCAGGACTGTCCGCTCCAGAATGCCACAGGAGCAAAGCACGTTCTTCTTCTCCAGAAGAAACTCAGGGTTGGAGGCTGTTTGTGTGTGGGACTTGAAGGGAAGGAGTCCAGCCCACGGGCCCGGGGCTGCTGCCCTCCTCCAAAGCATCCCCTGTACAAGCCCTCAGAAACAAAGGCAAGACTGTTCCAGAGGAGCGGGGCATGAGGCACAGATGTTGCACAAAGGCAAGCCACATCTGTTTCACTGGGGAAGGGGCCCCCTGCTCGCTGCTTCAGCAGGCAGATGGGAAAGCTGCTCTGAAAACTTACAGAGCTGAGTGCAACAGGCTGGCCGGGAAACTGGGACGAGGGGAGGGGGAAAAGGGAAACCTGGCAGGAGCTTGCACGGCAGTGGTGGAGTGAGGGAGCAACAGCCTCCCAAAACTGCTGCTTTCCCTCCTCGACGTCCCTGCCAGGAATTTCTAGGTTGTGCTGCTCTCATGTAAGTGTGAGGGCTAAGGCAATGAGCAGAGGGAGAGGAGGGAAGGTGAAGAGGACCTCCCTTGTCCCCTGAGGATAGTAGGACAGTCGTGCATTCAGGGCTGCCCAGGTCCTCACTGTCCCCTGTGAGCACGGGATGCTGCTTCAGGTCCTCGGTGATCTGGATGATTTGGGTGCAGGTTGATATCACCTTTAATGGTGAAAAGTAAGGGAGATGTTTGCACATGCAAATGACAGCAGACGTGTGCATCTCAGTGACAGGCTCTGAAAGATTTCCATCAATCTCCTGGGAGATGTGTCTCCAAGAAGTGGAAGATCCAATTAAGTGCAAGAGTCTGCAGTAAAAGCCCTGACTCTGAACTTAAACAGGAGAAAGATAAGGCACGTGAAAGCTTTTAGTTTGCTTACTTTAAGCAGAAGAAGTGTGGCATCCTGGAGGCTGTTTATTTTTGTGGTGCTTCATGGTGACTTCTGGGATTAAACCAGAGTGGACCTGCACTTCACTGTACATAGCACCAGGATGACAAACTGCCTGTCCATCCCACACAGAGCTGAATCTTAACTGTCTGCAAGCTGAGATTTACACAGTGGGAGTGAGGAGAATTATGAATCTTTCCTTTTGCTCAGTGAAAATCACATGATTTTGGGGTAAGGAAAATGTCATCACAGGACAAGCAAGTCCCTGCTGGTACCCTGCAGAGCTTTAGTCCACACCAGGTACAGGACAAGGTGTGTGTCCCCTCTGGGTCCCCCCAGGCAGCAGTCCTGACCTCAGCTGCACCCCATGGTGTGGTGTCCTCTGTCTCCTGCTCCAGGTCTTCCTTCTTCAGAGATACTGAGCAGGACATTTGGGATGCTGGGAGCCTTGCCACTCTTGTAAGCTGCTCCTGGAGAGGGCGAGGAGTTTACAAGCCTGTGTTTCTGCTGTACTTCTTTGGTGCATAACTCAACTGGGAGCAGAAGGTGCAATGGGAACAGCACTGTTAAACAGAGCAGTTTGCAGCTGTGGCTGAAGATTTTGTTCAAAATGGTCCTTTGGATGATGGATGTGTGAGAAGGGGCTGTGCTTAGCCTATGGCTGTGCAGAGAAGAACCTCCAGGTCAAGGAGCCTCCCAAAAACTGGAAATAGTCACTCTGGGTGGGAGGTTTAGAGCAAGAAAGAGGACATTTCATCCCTGGGAAGCAAAAAGCTCAAGGAGCTGGTGCAGGGCCTGGAACCAAGGACACGCCAGGTTATTACTAGAGAGAGGCTGTGGAGCTTGAAGGTTTCCAAGGTTTTTGTAATTTGCTGCCCCAAGGCCATAGTGATAACTGGGAAGAACTGTGAAAGCAACATTATTTGGGAAGTTAAAGGTGGTGTGTTGGCACCATCCCTTTGAAGTCAGTGCCCAGCCTGAACAGGGCCAACACTGTCTGGTCCAGTTATGCTGCTGCCAGAGTGCTGCCCTCTGCTAGTGCAAAGCACGCTTGTCTTGCACTTAGGCTATAAATGATCCCAGAAGCTTTGCAGACTGTCCAAAATTTAGCAAGGACAGCATGTTTTAAGGTTTCATCCCAGGCAATTTAACTCGGTCATTTTCTGGTTTGGTTTTGGACATGTTGGTGGGGAGGTTTGTGTGTCAGCTCTGAGGACTTTGCTGACTCTGCAGGGAAGGACCCAGCACCATGTGGTGATGTGTCACATTTCCATCTCCCCAGCTTCAGCTGACCCAATATTTGCTGTGACTCTGTTTCACAGGCTTTATGGGAGCAGTCCCCTTTCCCACCTTCCCAGTGCCTGGCTTGAGCTTCCCAAGCCACTTGTGTGGAAGAGGGGCTGGAAGAGCACCTTGAGCAGACAGGCATGGCCTACCTGCCACATCCCTGTCCTGGAGCCAAGCCAGATGATCTTCAGGGTGTCTGCAGAGTGCCAAATTGTAGTGAGGTCATGGTTCTCCCCTCTGGAAAGGCATTTCTGATGGAAAAAACACCTTCATCTCTGGGGGAAAAAGCCCAGACACAAAGCTGGTGTGGGTCTGCTAGGAATTGCAGCCACAGTGATGGATCATGATGCCAAATGAAGGGCTCTTATTCTTCATGCCCCGTGGGGATGTGGGTGCAGGTGAGTGTTGGTGGAGCTGTCCCCATGTGCTAGAGGAGCACGGCAGACCTGCCCTCCTGGGGAGCCACTCTGAGCCAGAGCTACCTTTGGGACTGGCAATCATCATTTAATAGCTGTCTTTAAATTCCCACTCTGCCAGCCATCTGTCTTCCCTGGGCAGGATAATATAGGAAGGCAATTGTGCACTTGAATGATGGGCCACGGACCCTGCCAAGCATTTCCCTCTGCTCAGACTTGCCCGGAGTCATTCCAGGGATGAAGAGGTTTTGTCTTGCTTCCATGTCCTTCCTCTGCATGGTTACAGGTCTCCAGCCCACATGCCATGCCCTTAACAAACCAAGAAAACCTCCTGCACAATATGAAGAGGAAGAGGCTGCTCCAATCCCAGGTCAGATTGATGTGCCCGCTCTCCCATTGCACCGGGAGCTGCCGCAAGCACCATGTGTGGGTGCAAGGCTCTGGAGGCATTCCCAGAGGTGGGGGGCAGGCAGACGAGCTTTCCCACTTGTTTTTCAAGCAGCCTTTGTTAAAACTGGTCACGGCAGGCTGCACCTCCTGCTGCCCAGGCGGTTTTGCGGTTCACTGGGCGGGCAGCGAGCGCGGGGCCGGGAGGGCGAGCAGAGCCCTGCGTGCTGCACCCCCTGTGCAGAGCACACCCAGTGTGCACCCAGATAAATGCACGGGCCTGCCTTCAACCTGCTCATCTGCAGGTCACCTTTGGCAAAGTCCTCTGAGCTTGGGAGTCTAGGGCAGGCAGGTGGCCAAGAGTGACATGGCCATGGCTGAGCCACCCTGGCTCCGTTGGGCACCTCTTTGGGACACTGGGATTTACTGCTGAAGGCATCTTGCAGTGCCAGTGCAGGGGCAGGAGGACTCTTTTGAATGCCAGAGGAAAGCAGGAATCAATCCAGTTTTCAACAGCCACGTATTTCCGTGTCGTCTTTCTAGTCTCAGGGCTGTTTCTTACATTCTTGGATAATGAAGTTTGGGGTTTGTTTTTCTTTTCTTTCAAGCTCGACAAAGCCAATTTGATGCACTTTGAAAAGAAATTGGAAACAGGCTTCTCTGCTTCAAATTCTGCCAAGGTTCAAGTGTCCTGGGAATACAATGTCAAGGATAACCCTCCCCCACCTCAGCCCCAACTAGACTTAGAAAGTTTTATCTCCTAGCATCTAAGCTGCACAGCTCTCCACTGTGCCTTTAGAGCCTGGGCTGTGCTGTATGTCTCTCTGATAAGTGAGAATATATATTATTTACTTATTGGCATCCTGGAACAAGTAGTACCTCTCTTAAACCTTTTTATGGATTTTGCCTGCTGGGAAAAGGACCTAATTTCTGGCAAAGACATGCTGTACTGTCAGTATGTCAGCCTGGCAAAGCAGAGCTGTACGTATGGTTTGCATTTCGGGTTGAATCGAAGCCACAGCTTAAACTGCAGCATTTTTTTACAGCATGGGCTCAGAGAAAGGCTCTTTGGAAAACTATTTACCCAGGGCTTGTAAATACAGTATTATTTCTGCAATGTTTTATCACCCAGGTTATTATTAAATTTGCAATATCAACCACCAGAAATAACAGAGAGACTGCACTTGCGCCTTTTTTGTTTCTTTTTGTTGTTGATGTGGCAGGGAAATCCTGAGTGGTGCTGGGGGAGGGAACCTCTGCTGGCCCTTGCCCAACTTCACAGCCCAGGGTTTCGAGTTCAGGGTGGGAGAGCAGTGGGGCTCTAACTTGTGGTGCCCAAACCCGAGCTCACTGACAAGGAAGACAAAGTGGGTTCGGACAATAATGATTCCTTAACCACTTGGACTCTAAACTGACTTGACATTAAAAACCCAGCAATCGTTGCCATCCATTTGGCATACTCTGTTCTCTGGCTGTGGGTTAAAATGGATTTTTCCTGCAGTGCTTTGAAGATTCTCCATGTGGCTCCCACATGAATTCTCCCCACAGGATCCTGGAAGTTTTGGCAGACAGGCTTTTTAGATACCCAGAGATGGTATAAGCAACCAGAGGGTTATTATCAGCTGGATAACAAAAACAATCACCCTGAAAATCCTCCGTGCTGAAGAAAAGGGTTACAGGGTTTTTGGTGAGAGTGGGATGGGCTGTGTCTCTCAAGAAGGGTGGGACAGGGGAGGTGCTGGAAAAACATGCCCAAGAAAGCACAGATTGGGAAGGGACGACTTGGCTCGATGCAGAAGGGAATACTGAGATTTACAGTTAGCCCTGTCCTTTGGGATCGATGCCATAGATATCACTGCTGTTAATTCAGCATACTTTGAGGCCAGAGGAACAGACTGTGAGGCACTTCCAGTGATGATTAGAAAGGAGTGTGGATATCAGGATACCAGGATCAGCCCTTTGTATGCCACAGAGTTATTTTACTATGGTTAAACTAGGATTTAGACTTGCACCTCCCCTAAACTCTTGTTTGGGAGGTCAGACATGGATTTCAGGTGTTTGGGAAAGAATGTGTGTCTGCACTCTGCAGAATTTCTTGAAATCTGGGACATGAAGGTTTTGAGAAGCTGAGCTTGGGTGTTGCTTGTGTCACTTGGCATTGGCTGTGATTCCACTTGAATCATTACCCCATTCAAGTGGGAGAGAGCTGGGATCACAACCAGCCTCTTGACAGAAGTCCTGCTGCCCCTCAGGGTGCTCAGGGGTGCTCACACTCATTCCCTCCCCAGAGAGGCACCTAAGACAATGATTTAGCCATGCAGTTTGGTGCCTGGGACAGTTAATGCCAAGCCTTGAATAACCCTGCTGGTGATCTAGGACAGGACATCCCTCTCTGGACAGTCTCACCCTAGCCTAGGTCCTTTCCACTCTGGGATAAAGCAGAGGTCCCCTGGCAGGTCCTAAAGACCTGTACCAGGCAGCCCCTGGTTCCTGGCAGAGGCTGCTGTAAACCCTGTCTGAAAAAGAGCATTTATATTTTGCTGCGCTACATTGTGTTTCTGGGAGAGAAGCAATTAAGTGAGAGCTATAAAGCTGAATCACTCCAAGTGCACCATCAATAGCTCTTATAAACTGCATTAAATCTGCTCAGTCCTTGAAAGGGAGCCATGGCAGGAAGCAGTGGTTGGGGCCAGCGATTCGGTGCCTGCTCTTGCCCCCCTCAGCTGATGCAGTGTCTTTCAAGGGATGTGGCTCCTCACCAGGGGGCTGCCTGAAGCAGTCCCCCCAAGCTGAGGACATGAAGCCTGATGGATTTTAGGATGGTGCTGTGTCAGCTCATAAGCTCATGCACTGGGGTTGCCTGGGGCAGCTGCGCATGGGGCAGGAGTTGTGCTGGTGGTGGGTCCCTGTGGTCAGTGGGAGCCTGTGGCCCTAAAAGCCCCACAGCTGAAATGCTTTTGCTTCCCCAGCTGTTTTCTGGAAGTAATTCTGGCTGCTGGCTCTCACCTCCCCAGCTTTTTAGCTCTTTTTTTTCAATCTTTTCCTCTTATAAACAGTCTCTTATCCCTTCTTTGGCAATATATTGTCCTGCTGTGTCTGCCATGGATATGCTTGTGCTTCCAAAATAAATAATTGGAAAAAAATGTATCCACTTGACCATTGCCTTGACTCCAGTGTGGGTTTGAACTGCTTGGAAATGCCTGTTGAAAGCAGAGAAATGGTGCCAAGGTGCTTTTTGTGGCTCCTGCCTCCTGAAGTGTGTGAGGCTGCCCAAACCCGAGTGAATGAGGCATGGGTGCAGCATGGTCCAGGGACTGGATTGGCTTGGAGAATATCTGCCATCTGCCAGGGATGGGGCCTCCACAGCTTATCTGAGCAACCTGTTCCAATGCCTCAACACTCTCACAGTTAAGAATTTTTTCCTAATGTCTAATCTGAACCTCTCTTTCAGTTTAAAGTCCTTTTCCCTTGTCCTGTCACTCCACATCCTTGTAAAAAATTCCTCTCCAGCTCTCATGTGGGCCCCTTTAGGGACAGGAAGGTGCTGTAAGTTCTCCCCAGAGCTCCAGAGGCCTTGTCTCAGCACACATTGAGATATCCAAATTATAGGTTCAGTGTGCTACCAGAAGAGGAACCAGTGATGATGCCCATAGTAGGGTCTGAAAAATAAAACCTCTTAGGAACTGGAAAGTGTCCACATCTAGACGGGAATGTGCTCTGGGTTTGGTGTTTTTTTTTTTTTTTTTTTTTTTTTTTTAGGAACTGGAAAGTGTCCACATCTAGACAGGAATGTGCTCTGGGTTTGGTTGTTTTTTTTTTTTTCCCCCCATTTCTTGGGTCTTTAAAGCAAAATATTTGACCATGAAAAATTCATTGCCCATAAGGTCATCCTGTACCTCAGTGCTGCAGATATGGCAGCCTCTGGGTGGGGAGTGGGCTCTGGCTCTGATTTGCTTCTGAAGGGACTGCAGCCAATTTCTGGCACAAATCCTGGCACAAATCCATGGCCCTGCTGCCACAGTGGAACACCTCTTGCAGGGATCACACAAGCAGAGGGGCTGCTTCCCTGAAGCAAGCCCTGCCTGCAGTGACACTCCAGCGTCATTCCTCCTTTCTGTCCCCACAGGCGCAGCGCCCATGGCGAAGGACGGGCATGAAGCCCCCAGCCCCAGCAGCTGTCGGGGTGCTGCTGGCCCTGGCCCTGCTGGCTCTCCTCCACCTGCCCCCAGCCCCGGAGCACTCCCTGCTCCCACTGCCGGCCTCGTCCCCCCCAGGGCCCCCGAGGGAGGCGGCTGCCCCCGTGTCTGCAGGACAAGCCCACAGGAGAAGGCTCCCCATGCCCCGCGCTCACCCGCAGCAGGAGCAGGCCCCTGCCCGGGGCAGGAGGCACAGGGGGCTGGAGAGGAACACTCCCCCTTGGCTCTCTGCTGACGACCTCCAGAAGATGTGGCTGCTGTCCAGCGGGCAGGTGGTCTCCAAAACCCGTGTCCCTGCCCATGGGCAAATCCTGCGAGTGAGGCTGCGTGCCGTGGGGGACGCCAAGGGAGATGCCAAGGAGGATGTCTTGGCAGCCAGCCCGGAAGGAGACTGCCAGGATGGGCGCTGTGGGCTCATCAAGCGGCCCGGGGACCTGTACGAGGTGCTGGCCTTCCACCTGGACAGGGTGCTGGGGCTGAACCGCAGCCTGCCCGCCGTGGCCCGGCGCTTCAGCAGCCGCCTCCTGCCCTACAGCTACACCGACGGCGCCCTGCGCCCCGTCATCTGGTGGGCTCCTGACCTCCAGCACCTGGAGGATGCCAACAATGACCAGAACTCCTGTGCCCTGGGGTGGCTGCAGTACCAGGAGATGCTGCAGCCCCACAGACCGATGCCGGTGGCCAGGGATGCTCCCTGCTCCAGCATCCCACACAGCGAGTGGAGCCGCCTGGCCCTCTTTGACTTTCTTCTCCAGGTAGGACTGTGGTGATTGAGGCCACCTGTCCCATCAGCTGTGGCACCCGGGTTCCCCTGCACCTGTATTGTCTGACCAGGGTCTCCTGCTCTGGGGGGTCACATCAGGTGTGGTTCCTTGGGATGTCTTTTCACTCTTCAGCTGATGGGGAGCAGCAGAACTTCATGCAGAAGCACTTTGGCCTGAGTATGGTCCATGTGTGGGACTCACAGGCTGGTTGTGGTGAGTCTGTCCTCGCGTGGGCAAGCTTTCTGCTGTTCATTTTGTGCTGGCAGAGGCTTGGGACATCCCTAGAGACATCCCTAGGGCATCCCTAGGGATAAGCAGCATGTCTTGCAGCAGCCCCATCACATCCAAACTCAGGGATGTGCTGCTGGCATTGGAAATAAGGAGCTGTGCCTTGGACAGTGCTGCCTTCCTCCTCCTCCTCGGCGTTAATAGCACTTAATCTTCTGTCTGGAAAATCAAACCCTGCTGCTACAAGGGATTACAACAGTATCCCAGAGAGTTATCAGGTCTTGGAGGGCAGCTGTGAGGAGGCAAAAGTGATTTCTGTGGAGAAAAAGAAAGCCTGTTTAGGCAGCTGGGGGCTGGTTGTCAGACAAGAGAAAACTGCCTGAAAGGACAAGTATTAATACCAAAAAAAAAAGGAAAAGGGAGGAAAGAAAAAAACCCCAAACTACTAAATAAAAGGTTTTCCTTATTATTTCTCTTTTTTTACAAGTATGGCTGGCAGAGGTGGAGCTGTTCTGGCTGGGCTTGAAAATATTTTAGCTGAAACAACCAGAGAAATGAGAAGATTAACCAATCCCCTTCCCTTCCCCAGGCCAAAATACCGCTGAGTGCAGTGGAAAGGCTGAGACTGCAGGAGAAAGTATCTAGTTCTAAGAGAGTTCCTTCCAAGGGCTGAAGCAGTGCAATGATAAATTCAAGGGCAATCCACAGGTTCTCCTCAGTAATTATAATGGAATCCCCCCCATGCAGAACAAGTCACATAAAGGTAAAGAGGATATTATAGAAGTGGAGTAGCATCTTTCAGAAATGGCTTTAGCATCTCCCACACTTGCTGGGGAAGGAGAAGTTGGTGAGATTTGAGCCCTGTTGTACCTTGGCATTGAAATCTTGGTAGTCTTCTTCAATTTCCCTTAAAATTTGGCTTCTTCTGTGTTAATTTCTCTTGGTGTTTGCCATAAGGGAAACCCCCCACTATGTTCAAAGTTTTAGTGGGGGCAAAATGCCAAGCCTGATGGAAAAGGGACAGCTGCTGATGGCTTTGTCCTGCACTTAAAGACAGCCAAAACCAAATCAGCTCTGAGCCACATCCCTTCCCTGGGACACCCTCTTCCCAGCCAGGGGGAGAGCAAGGAAAATTTCCCTAGGGGAAGCCATTCCAGGCTGAATCATAACTGGAAAAATCTATCAGATGCAAGGGGATGCCCCAGGATGGGCGTAAGAGGGGCTGAAGGTGAGCTTCCAGTAATGTTTGAGCTTGGATGGGAGACAGTGTGACTCATGTATTTGTGTTCCAGCAATAACACCAAAATTCCCATGAATTACAGCTGTTTAGGCTCTGGAAAGAAAAAATGAATACCAAAAAATCAGGGGAGGGCCAGGAGGGCTTGTCAGCATGTCAGGGCACTCTCAGCATCTCCACAGCCATCTGGTCCCTCTCCTGGGGCTCCGCTTGGACAGCAGATCTGGCTCCACCTCACACCTCTGCGCGTTCAGCACCGATCCACCTTGGTTTCACAGGTGCTCGTGGGTGGGTGAGCGGAGCGCTGAGCCTATTTAATGTCTCTGTAAGTTCTCTCAGGTTGTCTTCACCTTCTGTGCAGCCTGCAAAACAACATAGCAGGTGAGAGAAACTGGCCTGCTGAGCTCTCCTGTAGGCAGGCCGAGGAGATGCGAGGAGGAAATGTGATATTTTCTCCTGTTTCCATGTGTTTTGTGACAAGATGCTCAAGCACTTTTTCACTGGAGTGTCTCCCAATGGAGAAATACTGACCTGAGTTCTTCATTAAACCTCAGAAAACAGAGAGGTTTAAGAGGCTCTGGTGTGGGACTAATCCATCTTCTCAAAGGGTTATGAATGGAATGGCCATGGAGATCACAATTTGTGTTTCCCTGCAGCATCTTCTCCAGTGCTTGGTCAGTGTTTGGGTTCAGAGTGAGCTCTGTGTCAAAGCACAGCCTGTAGTTGGTAACTCGTGCTAATTACCAGGGCAAGGGGAATAGGCAGCCTCTGTGGGTCACTCGGCTGCTGTCTTCTTGTCACATGTAGATCCCTTCTGGATCACTGAGTCCTGCTCCAGCCCTCCCAGTGCTCCAGGAGCCTCTCTGTACCCCGAGCCCTGACTCCTGGGCTGGCACCAGCAATGCAGAGCAAATCTGCGAGTCAGGCATTTTCATGCTGCAACCACAGAAAACATATTTATTTTGTATTTTATATATATTTTTATATATATTCATATATATTTAAAGGAACATACGTGATGGTTTTTTATAAACAGGCTTTGAGATTGGGAGGAGGTGAGGCAGCTCCCCTACAGGGTCACGTCAGCACACAGCCATGGGGAGGTCTGCTGACAGCCAGGGTCCTGTCTGCCCTACAAATCACCCCGGAGGATGTACCAGCTGCTTCTGACACAGCTGAGGAAGCTCCATAAATACTGAGGCCAGGTCTGGCAGAGATTTATATCTTTTAAAAGCCCTTCATTCCTCCAAGGGTGTGGTTGAAGCACGAAGTTGTCAAGCAGCTCCAGGATTTCTGCAGGGAACTGGGATGGGAAGTAGGAGGTTTGACAGCCTGGACACCATGAAGCCTTAGCAGCACCTGCAAATGATTAAACACAAATGTAACTGAAACAAGTTACCGTGGCCCAGCTTAAATGTCAGGCATGCTCTGTGTATGCACAGGCTGCTTTTTCCCTTGCCAATACTTTTCCATTCATCTTTCCATTGAGAGCTGCTCAGGTTACTGTGGAGATGGAGGAAAGGTTACATATGTGACAGGAACCAGATGAAACCATCATACAGAGCACCAGAACTTGGAAAAATAAATTATTTTTGAGGTTTCAGACTCTAGGTTTCCTTGGGTGCTTTGTTGGTTTTTTAAATTCATTCATCATTGTGTACGTCTTCCCTTCATTTCAGTTGGAAGCACAACCCCTTCAGTTTGTGCAGATACAGAATGTGTAGGTACCAGGTGTCTGAACTCCATCAGAAAAGCCTGTCACCATCACCTTTCTCATCACCTTGTTCATGCCAAAGGGGTTCTGCACGTGTGCTTCCATTTCTTCTCACTCACCAGTGTGCGCAGCTTTTCCATTGCACGTCTCCTGAGGATCCCTAGAAACGTTTCATTTTCCTCTGTACAAGAACAGCTCACAACAGGACCTCCCCATCCCAGGCACATGTCCCTGTTACGGTCCCCAAATGTCTCCTGCAGGTTCATGACCGCCTGGACCGCTACTGCTGTGGGTTTCAGCCTGATCCCTCTGAGCCCTGCGTGGAGGAGATGCTCCACGAGAAGTGCCGGAATCCAGCAGAGCTGGTCCTGGTCCACATCCTGGTATGGCTCCCTGCTGTCCACGGGCTGCTCTGGGGATAACATGGGGGTGCCCGGGAGGCACTTGCAGGGCTGAGATGGTAGCAAAGGGAATGTAGGTCCCATGGTGACGCTGGGTCCCTGCATCCCATAGCTGGGAGGTATGCTCAGGCATGGAGGGACAAAGACGTTGGCATCTGCATTTCCCCAAAGACTCTCAGCCTTTCTCACTGCATTAAAAAGCAGCCTAAGCCCCACGCTGGTGTCTCTGCAGTGAGTGAACTTCTCCTTGCCATCCTGCTGGCAGGTCCGGAGGAGCGCGCCGTCCCGCCTGGTGTTCATCGACAACGCGGGCAGGCCACAGCACCCTGAGGAGAAGCTCAACTTCAGGCTCCTGCAAGGCATAGACAGGTAGGAATGTGCACGTGCTGAGCAAGGGCTGAGCTGGCGCTCAGGGGATGTCCAGCAGCCCTGTGTGTGCTCACCTTCTTGCTGCTTCTGGCCTCCCTGATGGGGCATCCCTCTGGATGGAGATGGATGTTCGGGATGTCCCCAGAACAGGGTGGGTGGCTAGGCTCTCAAAAACATCCCACGTGCCCCTGCCCTGAAAGTAACTCTTTATTCTGCTCTGGGTGGCTGATGGCAGGCTCCAAAGCCTATTTCCCCTCTCTAATTGGCAGCTGCACAAAAATAATGAATAATCAGGTATTCCAGCATTTCTTGCGCCATTGCCCATGAGGCATTTTGGCATGCTAGAGGCCTCTTGATTTGGAATTTGTTTGGGTCAGTGTCTGATGGAGCTATCCTGCATGCTCACCGTGGGTAGAGTTTTAAGCAGAAGGCTCCTTGTCCTGCATTCCTCTGGGTAGAGGAGCATTTCCTCTTGAAGCATAGTGGCTCTGCTGCTCCCTCTCTCCCTGCTCAGCCTTCCCTGGATAACCCCTTCCCTCCCTGTCTCTTCTGCTCCCCCCTGCAGCTTCCCAGCGGCGGCGGTGGCCACGCTGCGCTCGGGCAGGTTGCAGAGCCTGCTGCTGCAGTCCCTGCGCCTGGACCGCGAGCTCTGGGAGAGCCAGGGGGGCGCTGAGGGGCTGAGACCCCTGCTCCAGACCATTGACAGGAGGGCACAAATCCTGCTCCACCACATCCAGGAGCACAACCTGACGGTGTCTGGGGACTCGCCGCGCTGAACCGACCTCCGGCTGCATCAAAGTGCACATCCCAGCAGCCGTGGATGTACCTCATGGACCTTGTGAGGCTCCGTGCTGCTGCTGGGCTCTCCACAAGGTGTTTCCCCCTCACCTTGTAGGATGACCTGGAGTAGCAGATGGAACCACAGGGAGTAGGAAAGATGGGGAGGAGATGTCTCCTAAGACAAGCCACAGCTGCTTGAGAAAAGCAAGAGTCATCAAGTTATGGTCTCAGCACGGATTTTCAAAGGGAGGGCATATCCGTGAGGTTTTTTGGGTGCCTTTACTCACATGCACACAAACACACACACAGCAACTTTAGAAACTGGAGTTCAATTGGACAGTTGAACAGCTGACAGGGACCCTGGAAAGAGTTAAAGAAACAGTGGAAGAAGTCACTGGCAACCTTTCCTTGGCTTTTTGATGATGTTTTCACTATTTCCAAAACATGCCAGACAGAGAGGCAGGGGGAAAGCAGTGGGGAGCTTTCTATGTGGATTAAACAAAGACAAGACACTAGAGCTGAGCTCTGCCTTTCCCCCTGCAGAAGAGGTGATGTGTGCCTGCAAGTGAGCGTGATCCACTGCCTGAAGCTGAGACTAGGCAGGACCTTGAAGCTCAGCAGCATGGGGCAGCAGCTGCCCTCATAAAGCCCATGGTACCATCCCCAGTGAGAACCAGGTGCTGTGTGCCATGTGCCATGGTCCATGCATGTGCCTTGGTGGGTCTGGGCTCTGACAATGCTCTCAATGTCAGATTTGAAGATTTAAATTTCTCGTTTGCTCTTTGCCTTCACTGTCAGGGGATTAAAGGCAAAACTGCCCCACTTCTGAAAAGCACTCCTGGCTGCTCTCCTGGGCATGACTGCATGTAACTCTTCCCCAGGCTTGCAGAAATATGTTTTAACAAAAATGCCAAGCTATTTTAGCAGAAGGCAGTCGAGTGCAAAATGCTTCCTGAGCATGCTGGCACCTCCGGCGGAGCCCATCCTGTTCCTGTCACCCCTCAGGCTCTTTCCCAGCAGCCCATGCTGATGAAGCACAGCAGCATCCCAGCTAGGCGGGTCCTCAAGTGTCTGGGCAGAGAGATAATTCAAAATCAGAATGAACAGGAGGAAAAGAGATGCAGGGATGGGCTCAGTCATTGCCTGCAGTGTGCTTCCCAGCTGAGGCATGCAGTCCGTGTTTGCTTGGAGCAGTCAGTTCCTGGCCTGTGGGTTTATGATTTGCCACCAGAAGACTTTTTAAAGGCCTCCATTTCTCCAGTGTTACAGGCAGAGCATCCATTGCTTCAGGCACTCCAATTCCAGTTCAAGCCTTTGGAAAGTCTCAGTGAGACTGGCATTGGCACCCAGCTGCACCACGATACAGCTGCCCCATTGCAATAGCTTTGGAGAGCACAGCCACCCATGCAGTGGGAGAGGAAAAGCTGGGTATGGATACCTTCCCTGCTCCATCCTTCTCAGCACTATGTCTGTTTGAGAGCCTGCAAGGGGCTGCTCTAACACCCATGCTGATAAGCACAGACAATTACTTTTTCTCCCCTTTTCCCTCTTGCTGAGGAGAGGGTGAAGCGAGACGTGGGTGACATGAATCAACAAGCAGGCACAAGTGCTCTCAGGAAGCATCTGCACTCAGCATCACAGGCACAGCAGCATCCAAAGTGCCATCAGCCTGTTCCTGGAGTCCTGCCCTCCAATTAGCCAGGGAGGGCCTTTCCCCCAGCACTCTCTCCACCCCATGAATTATCACCCTATTTGCTGTGCCATGAGATGGATGACGGTCATGGAAACCCTGCTAAAGCCTGAATCATGAGGATTTATTACTGGGAGGTGAGCTTAGCTTGTGAGCTTGAAAGAGAACGAAATAACTCATCCTGGGTCCTATGAAAAGCCATACCCAGGCATGGCTGTGTAGGAGTAAAGGATACTAAATGCAACAAAATTAAATCAAAAAAATATTCTGAGAGAAACCATGAGCATTAGTTATGATGTACAGCATAAGTCAGAGTCTTGCTTTATCTCACTGAAGTGAGAAATTTCTTCAAAGGAGAGGTTTTCATCCCATGTGAGCCAAGTTCTCAGCGAGAATGAAGAGACAGGTGGGGCTCTGCGCAGTGGCCAAAGCTGTGGACATTGCTGAGCTGGACCAGAGCTTTTGCCTTGCCTCTGGTTGCATCTGCTCTACCTTAACATTGCCCAAGGCAGTGGGGTTTTTTTGCATTTCTTTAGCTGTAATGTGAGTTTGCTGGCTAAACACATGTGGGAACATCTGTAAGCAGTTATACATGTGAATAAAAATCCCTCGTGATTTAACAAAGAGCCATGTATGGATAAATGAGAGCAGCAAAAGCCAAGATCTTGCTGAGACTGATCATTAATCTTCTTTAATTAGTCCATTTTTCCATGGGCTTGCCTATGTAACCAGCACAGGCTCTGAACTGCAGCCATGGTTGTTCAGAGGGGTCCTGTGTCCTGCTTGCATCAGCCTTTACCCTGTCGTGTTGGGTTCAGTTTGCTCCAGCTATCAGCGTGTCATATTTCCTATGACAAACTTACTGTTATGGTTGTGACTACTTTATAGATGGAAATATTCCTGTGGGGCCATGCTTGACAAACTAGATTTCATCTGAGCAGGGACGCTGTTTTACTGAATTTTACTGCACGTCATCACAGATCGTGTTGGGGTGGGGGTCACAAAAAAAGGTGGATGCAGGATGGCTTTGTCTTTAAGAAGGCAGCAGCAGCTAAGGGAAAAGCCAGTGGAGAGACAAGAGCAGGGGGGATCCCTGTGGCATCCTTCTGCTCACCCGTGGCACCTTGGAATGTGCTCCAAGAACAGCATTTGGGAGCATGGGCACACACCTCCACAGAGCTCCAGCGAGAGGGAACTGCTTCATTCCACTGTGATCCAAGTGACATGATCCATCTTTCACAGCTCTCTGGCTGTGCACAACTTCTCAGCTGGCAGAAAATAGGGCTGGGGGTGGGCAGGCAGCGCCAGATTGGCTCCAGCCCGCCGAGCACACGCACCCACACGTGCAAACACGCACCGTGTCGCTGCTCCTCTTCAGCCTGATCTTGGCCCCCAAAGCTGGTGATCCCTGACCCCCCAGCAGCCTGCTCCAGGGCTTTGCTGGCCTCACCCTCTGTAAACTAAATGCCCGTTTGCTGCACTTAAGGGCCATTTCTTGAGCTGGACACAGGACACTAAGTAGGCTTTTCTGCAGCCCCATGTGGACGTCGCAGAGCAGCCCCAGCACTCACTGAACCCACCCAGTGGCCAGGGTGACACCAGTGGGGTGGCACTTGGGGGTGAGGTGACGAGCCACCCTTGTGCTTCCTTCCCCTTAAGGGTGGGTTGTCACAGGTGACACCCAGAGACCCCACAGGGTGCTCTGCTAAACCCACCCAAGCATCCCCGTGCTGCACGGGGGAAGCGTGGGCTGACTGCTGCCTGAAAGGCACGAGCTAGCAAGTAAATCCAAATTCATTGTTAAATCTCTGTATATAAAAATAATCTGGCTTTTAGAAACCAATTTATTTATTCTTTCAGTACTTACTTAAATATTTATGCGAAAAAGGGGGAAAAAAGTCTGCTCTGACATAGGATTATTGGTGTAGCAATGGTCTTTGAGATTAATGGAAGTAAATTAGCCTGATGTTTTATTTACATCCAGAAAAGCAATAGATAAACTCTCCTTGTGATGGATTTTCTTCATTAGCTGGGCGAACGCCTAAGGTACAGCTCTTGACATTGTTTCTTCCATGCGGTTAGACAAACAGTTTATCAAAAGAGTATAAAATTGTCAGGAAAAGAAGCAGATTAATGGCCAGTAAAGTGAAGATCATTAAATTTATTATATAAGTAGCAGTATCACTGGAGCTCAAGAAATGGCTTATTAGATAAGCACCATGTACACACACAGGGAAGTGCTGAGCCCCCCCGGATCTGCCGCATTGTCGGCAGCTGCTTCCCAAATCCCAGTGGGATGGTGTCCACACTGAAGCTTCACCTCCCTCCTCCTTCCCTCCCTTTAGGTTTATTCTGTAACTCATACAATTTCCTCTCAATTAAAACCCCTTAAGATTTCAGAAACGATAACTTTTTCTTCACGTCTGTGCCGATGCAACCATTTCTGCAACTTATTTTGGCTGCTTTTTACACCAGGGATAATCATGCCAATATCAGCAACAATGATGTACAGGTCTTATGATTATTTGCAAAAAATCCCCCAGCATTAGCAGCTTATGGATCCCATATGGCTCCTGCAGCAATTACTGCTGAAAGGATAATTACCTGCCAGATAAGGCAAATGGAAGAAAGGAGACAGGGAACCTGGGAGAAACTAAACATTCCTGGGGATGGAAGAGGGGCTGTGTTGGTGGGTTCCTGAGGTCTCTGCCCTGCCAGATATGGGCTCAGGTTTTCAAGCTTCAGAAAGGGGATTTGGGGTACAGTGACAGCTAAAAACCATGAGTTTAACTGGTGCCATGAGTCGTGGTGTCCGAGGGCTGTCTCCAGCAGGTGGCATTGGCTCCACAGGCTGTCTTTTCCCAGGGCTTGCCAAGAGCGTCTTAAAAGTCTCATCCCTGGACTGGCAGATTTCAAGCTGCTAAAGCATCATTAAGTCCCTAATTCCTTTGCAGCCTAATCTGCCCAGCTGTTCTTTATATCTCTTCACCAGCATCACTTTCCCCACCCCCCCTTCCCATTTCTCTCTTTCCCACAAAAATCTAGATTTATGGAAGCAGACCGTTGCTCCATGTTGAGAGCAAGACAGAGCAAGCAGCTGCTTGAAGAAGGAAATGCCACAGCACCAGGGCTCTTCCCACCCTAGTGTGAACCTAAATGTGGACCCAGGTGCACAGCAGCCACAGGATTTTTGGATTGAAGATCTCAAATGATGGTCAAGTCCAGGAGTTTTTCCCTAGAGCTGTTTTGGATAGCTGCTGCTTTGGTAGGATTGTCTCTGTTCCAGAGAACTCGTAAAGTTCAGGACATTTTGAATGGGCCAGCTCTCTCTGGGATGGATTTTAAAAGGATACATCTCCTAGAGCTGTGTGCATCCAACTGGTAGATAACACAAATCCAACCATGCTTTGGGGCTTTGAAATCCTCTGGTTTGTAAGCAAGGCAAGCCACAGATGGGAACAGCCTCTCCCAAAGAGGAGTAGTTTTCCACCCCCAGATTATCACCATGGGGTTCTTGGGAACTTCCCTGGGTTTTCACTTCACTCCTGACTGAAAGACCTGCCTCACATTTCCTCCTCTTCTGAGCTGAGCCAGTTTTTATTCCCAGGGGCCACATCCAGCATCACTAGAGATGCTGACTCCATGGCATTGCTGGGCAGGCTCTCTGCTTGAGCAGGTATGGTACCACCTCTTCCAGTCCTGCTTTTTGAGTAAATTTTGCTCCCTTGGATTTAATGTTTGGCCATATCTAAGCAGGGATGTAGTTTTTATTGAGGATGAGGTGAGTGGATAGAGTGGTACAGGCTACACTGTAAATATTGCTGTATTTTTCATATATTTGTTTTTAATTTCCCATTTTGGGCATCTGGGAAAGCTTGGAATAAGCAAAGGGTGTTGTATCCCAGGGCTCTTTATGTACATAAACAATTGGAGGTTTATTGCCTTGACTTTCCCTGAAACAAGTTCTTGGCTCCTCTGAGTTAAATCTTGGTGGGGAAAAGGGATCTAATAAGCTGAGCTGCAGACTTGGCTTCTAGGAAGCACATCTAGGTGCCAGCAAGATACCAGGAGGCTGAGATTTGCCACAACTGGGACAAATCTTTTTTAATGGCTTTTGTTCAGTTCACCAGGGTCTGCCAGCTCTGCTCCTTGCCAACAGTAAATAGTCTGGGAGCAGGGAATTGGTGATTATATTAAATTTAAGGCAATTCAGCATTGTTTTTCTTGATTTGGAG